TTAAACTCTGTGCAAAGCAGGGATTAGCAGGACATGAGTGAGCTTAGCCCTGATGCGGTGACCTGGGCCGTAGTCCTGGGAGTGGCCTCTTCACGCCCCACCTCGCGGCGTCACAGCCTCCCGGGACGGACTCCCTGGCGCCCCCAGTCGCCCGCAGCCGCCGGATGATCCCCTACTCCCGTCTCTCTCCCACAGTCAGCCTGGCTGAGGATGGAGCCCGCCCCGGGCCTCCTGGAGCAGCCCCAGCGCACGGAGGCCGGGAGCCCGCAGCCTGAGCCCACACCGTGGCAGGCCCTCCCAGTCCTGTCTGAGCAGCAGGCGGGGGACGTGGAGCTGGTGCTGGCCTACGCCGCGCCCATCCTGGACAAGCGCCAGACCTCTCGCCTCCTGAAGGAGGTGTCGGCCCTGCACCCACTCCCGGCCCAGCCTCACCTCAAGCGGGTGCGGCCCAGCCGCGACGCCAGCAGCCCCCACGCCCTGGAGATGCTGCTCTGTCTGGCCGGGCCGGCCTCCGGCCCACGCTCGCTGGCCGAGCTCCTCCCACGGCCGGCCGTGGACCCCCGTGGCCTGGGGCAGCCCTTCCTGGTGCCCGTGCCCGCCCGGCCGCCTCTGACCAGGAGCCAGTTCGAGGAGGCCCGCGCCCACTGGCCCACGTCCTTCCACGAGGACAAGCAGGTGACCAGCGCCCTGGCCGGGCGGCTCTTCTCCACGCAGGAGCGCGCCGCCATGCAGAGCCACATGGAGCGGGCGGTGCGGGCGGCCCGGTGGGCGGCGGCACGGGGCCTGCGGGCTGTGGGGGCCGTGGTGGTGGACCCGGCCTCGGACCACGTGCTGGCCACCGCCCACGACTGCAGCAGCACCGCCAGCCCTCTCCTGCACGCCATCATGGTGTGCGTGGACCTCGTGGCGCACGGCCAGGGCCGCGGCACCTACGACTTCGCGCCCTTCCCCGCCTGCTCCTTCGCCCCGGCCACCGTCCCCTACGGCGTCCGCGCAGGCGCCGTGCGCAAACTGGACACAGACGAGGACGGCCTCCCCTATGTGTGCACCGGCTATGACCTGTATGTGACCCGCGAGCCCTGCGCCATGTGCGCCATGGCCCTGGTGCACTCACGCATCCTGCGCGTCTTCTATGGCGCGCCCTCGCCCGACGGCGCCCTGGGCACCCGTTTCCGCATCCACGCGCGGCCGGACCTCAACCACCGCTTCCAGGTGTTCCGCGGCGTGCTGGAGGAGCAGTGCCTCCTGCTGGACCCCGACACGTAGGCGCTGCCCTCCTGCCTCCGGACCTTCGTGCTCCCGGCGTGGGGCGCCTCTCCTCGACCTCCTTGGCGCAAGCCTTTTCGTGGATTTTAAGGACACACTGCCTCCAGCGGGGACCCCAGGGGCTGCCTTCCGTGTTGAGCTGCGGAGTGAGCTTTCCTGGACTCAGTCCTTGGCTCACCCCCACGCCGGCCTGTGGAGATCTCCACGGGTGCCCTCACTGCCTTTCTGTCCCCTCTGTCTCTCCGGCCAGGAAACAGCTCTGATGGGAAAATAAACAGCCTGAAACCAAGCGGGTGTCTGTTGACTGGTGTGTGCCTTGGTGGCCAGGTTCCCTGGTGGGGCGAGGTCTGTACAGGGCCGGGTGGCGGCGCGCAGGGGCTGCTGAGCCACGTGGTCAGAGGCCTCCACTGGTTCCTGGTAGGCAGGGCCCCCAGCTGCTGCCTCCTTGCCTGCTTCTGGAGTCCCGATGGTTCCGGGAGTGCCTGGGCCTGATGCGTGGACACCAGGTGTAGCCCACAGGCCACCGACCTGAAGGAGGGACCCTGCCATTTAGTGTCCCACACAAGTGGCAACAGGGGACCCGAAAGGGCTGATGCCAGCCGGTCACAGCACAGTGAGGACTGGAGCCGAGTTTGCAGAACGTGGAGCAGGACCTGTGTGTCCACCTGGCAGAGTCTGCCGATGACCAGGAGGGTGCCGCTCAACCCCCACACAGGCCTGCCCTGAGCCCCTAGCCCGCGGGGGAGGGGGTGCAGCAGGCAGGGCTCTGCGTGGGAAGCTGGGGCAGCCGACAGAACGCGTGGCTGACCAGGAGCCCTCCAGACCTGCAGTGGGGTACCTCGTGCCTGGGGCTGGGACCGAGGCGGGCTGGAGGGTCCCTGATGGGGCCGGAGCCACAGTGTGGAGGGAGGAGGTGGGAGCTACAGGGGCATGCCCAGTGATGGGGGCAGCGGCTGGTCCTCCTTGGTGTTTGGTGCTCAGGGCTCAGCTCCTTCCCCTGAGGGGCAGGAAGGCAGAAAGGAGGGAGTGAGAGGTGGGAGGCAGACAGAGGACAGAATGTCCTGTCCCAAGAGCCTGGGGTGCCCCCCTGCCCCATGACACCTCCCCAGATGGGTTGTGTGCGGAGGCCTTAGTTCCTCCAAACCTTCTCACCTGCCTGTGCCTGCCAGGATCTGCTCCCTGCCCCCACCAGGATCTGCTCCCTGCCCCCTTGGGCCTGCTCACTGCCAGGATCTGGGATGGTTCCAACCCTGATGGGCTGTGATGCCCGATGGGCACTGGGCATTTCCATGCTGGCCTGGCCTACCTCCCACTGGCAGGTCCGCCACCAGGACCATGGAAGCAGCTAGATCACTCTGTCGTGCGTGGCTGGCAGGCTGGGGTCAGGCTGCTCTGGTGCGTGAGCGTGTGGGGTTCCCTTTCAGAAAGGCCACGGTGCCACTTGGATGTGATGGGGTCCTAGGCCCTGCAACGTTCATGGGGTGAAAACCGTAGCCCAGACAGGTGGTGTGACTGGCCTAAGGTCACACAGCAGTGAGCTGGCACCTGGTTCTGTTACTCGCTGGGAAGTCATGTCTTGTAGCGCCGATCCCTTGTGGGCTGAAGCTGGGATTTGGGGCATGTGGGGGCCTAGGACTGCAGGGGAGGGGATCCTGGCTGGGGCAGTGGGTGGGAGGGCTGCAGCCAGCCCTTTCCCTTTTGCCAGCAAGGATGGTGCACACTTGAGGCGAGTGGAGGGAACCTGTGGGGCAACACATCGGGTCAGGTCAGGCCTGTGGCACCCGCGCAGCCCACTGCTGTGCCCAGAATACAGGGCACGATGAGGGGCTCTCCAGCCACGGTGGGTGGTTAACGCCCTGCTCAGGGCGACCCTGGGGTTCCCTGACTGTCATTGTTTTCTTCCAGGCGGCTGCAGGCTTCAGCCCGCGCCGGTCGGCGAGGAAGAGATGTCAGGTGAGTCCTGCCAGCCTGGGAGCCCCAGCAGTGCAGGCGGGAGGGTGGCGTGGGCGGGAGGGTGACGCGGGCAGTTCCCACAGCAGCCCTCGGTCCTGGCCGTGGCCATGCAGTGTCCTCCTGGCCTGCCTGGCTTCTGACTTCTCCGGCCCCACAGCTCAGCACAGCCAGGTTCTTGCCTCTGCTGGGGGTCGGGACAGGGCTACAGAGCCGCCTGTGTCGTCTACTCTGACGCCAGGAGGGGTGTGAGTGAAGCCAGGTGGGCCTCAGCATGGGCACTCATCCCTGCCTTCTTCCGGAGTCTCTGCTGCTTCTGGGCCCGGCAGTTCACTCCGAGGCTTCTGTGCTGCCGTGCGCTCACCCTGGATGCCCTGCCCCTCGGAATTCACCGCACTCCCTTCCCCACCTCAGGACCCGAAGCACCACCTGCTGGTGCCCGTGCTGGCATGGCTGCGCTTTCCTCCCAGCACCTGCTGTCGTCTTGGTGCCTGCGGGTCTCTCACCTGCTCATGTACTGTCAGCTCCCGCTGTGGGTGGAGCCCCTGAGGATGGGCCTCCTGCCGTCTGGCTGGAGTGGATGCTCAGGGATGCTTCTGCAGGCAGTGCTGGCTCAACAGAAGCTCCCAGGGGTCTCCCAGGCCGTGCGGAGTCCCCCAGAGGCCATGTGTTCCCATCCGGACCCCTGGAACCCATGATTGGGAGCTCATTTGGGAACATGGCCTTTGTAGATGTGGTGGAGTTAAGATGAAGTAATGGGCCAGACACAGTAGCTCACGCCTGTAATCCCAACACTTTGGGAGGCCGAGGTGAGCGGATCAAGAGGTCAGGAGATCGATACCATCCTGGTCAACATGGTGAAACCCTGTCTCTACTAAAAACACAAAAATTAGCTGGGCGTGGTGGCAGGTGCCTGTAGTCCCAGCCACTTGGGAGGCTGAGGCAGGAGAATTGCTTGAACCTGGGAGGCAGAGGTTGCACTGATCTGAGATCACGCCACTGCATTCCAGCCTGGCGACAGAGCAAGTCTCTGACTCAAAAAAAAAAAAAAAAAAAAAAAATGGGTCAGGCGCAGTGGCTCACGCCTGTAATCCCAACACTTTGGGAGGTTGAGGCAGGTGAATCACAAGATCAGGAGGTCGAAAGCAGCCTGACCAACATGGTGAAACCCCATTTCTACTAAAAATACAAAAATTAGTGGGGCATGGTGGCGCACGCCTGTCGTCCAGCGACTCAGGAGGCTGAGGCAGGAGAACGCTTGAACCCAGGAGGCGGAGGTTGTGGTGAGCTGAGATTGTGCCACTGCACTCCAGCCTGGGCGACAGAGCGAAGCTCCGTCTCAAAAAAATGAAAGAGATGAAGAGACAGGAGGGGTCATGGAGATGGAGGCAGAGGGGGGAGGTATGCGGCCATGAGCTTCAGAAGCTGGGAGAGGCAGGAACGCTCCTTCGCTGAGCCTCCAGAGGAAGCGCGGCCCCAAGACACCTTGATCTCCAATTTCTGGCTCCAGGATTGTTAGCAGATACGTTTCTGCTGTGTTACTTTCGTGTTTGTTTTGAGACAGGGTGTGGCTCAGTAGTGTGACCATAGCTCACTGCGGCCTTAACCTCCCGGATTCAAGCAATCCTCCCGCCTCAGCCTTCTGAGAAGCTGGGACCACAGGCACACACCACGCCTGGCTCATTTTTGTATTTTTTGTAGAGTTGGGGTCTCACTAGGTGGCCCGGGCTGATGTGGAGCTCCTGGGCTCCTGCAGCCCTCCTGCCTCGGCTTCCCCGAGTGCTGGGATCACAGGTGGAACCCCCACACGGGCAGTTGTTGCTGCCTAAGCCTTCCCGTTGGTGGCGCTTTCTCACCCCAGCCACTAGGAACAGAAGCGTCCCCTGGCCACAACCTCCCTGCAGCCTGTGGACTTGGCCCACTGAGCACGCCTGTTGGCCTCCCCTGCCTGCTGTAGAGAATGACGCCAAACCCAGCCTGCTGTGGCCACACCCAGGCTAAACACGGAGGGCTGCAGAGATGGGCGTGACCCCCCATAAAGGGTGGCGCCTAAATTTAAAACAATTTCATAAACTTAGTTTCTTAAAACAAGGAAATCTGCTACCTGACAGTTTGGACACCAGGAATCCTAAAATCAAGCTGTAGACAGGGCTGGGTCCTCCTGGGGGCTCCAGGTGAGAATCTGGTTCCCACCTTTCCCAGCATCCAGAGGTGCCTGCATTCCTTGGCTCGGGGCCCCATCCTCCTTCACAGCCCCAGTGCAGCCACTTCCAGGCTCTCTGAGTCCCACCCTCCCGCCACCTCTCGTGAGGCTGCTGTGAGAACACTGGGCCCCAGATCATCCGGCTCCTCTCCTGTCTCAGGGTCCTTATCTCAATCCCAGCTGCAGAGTCCCTTCTGCCATGAGAGGCGACACAGCCGTGCGTCTCATGGACGAGGTCGGGCCACCTTCAAGAGACAAAATCTGGGGCCAGGCGTGGTGGCTCACACCTGTCATCCCAGCACTTTGGGAGGCTGAGGTGGGTGGATCATGAGGTCAGGAGTTCAAGACCAGTCTGGCCAAGGTGGTGAAACCCTGTGTCTGCTAAAAAGACAAAAATTACCTGGGCATAGTGGTGGACCCCTGTAGTCACAGCTACTCTGAGGCAGAGAATTGCTTAAACTTGGGAAGTGGAGGTTGTAGTGAGCCAAGATTGGGCCATTGCACTCCAGCCTGGGCGACAGAGCAAGACTCTTCTTATTTTTTATTTATTTATTTATTTTGAGACGGAGTTTCGCTCTTGTTACCCAGGCTGGAGTGCAATGGCGCGATCTCGGCTCACCGCAACCTCCACCTCCTGGGTTCAGGCAATTCTCCTGCCTCAGCCTCCTGAGTAGCTGGGATTACAGACACGCGCCACCATGCCCAGCTAATTTTTTGTAGCTTTAGTAGAGACGGGGTTTCACCATGTTGACCAGGATGGTCTCGATCTCTTGACCTTGTGATCCGCCCGCCTCGGCCTCCCAAAGTGCTGGGATTACAGGCTTGAGCCACCGCGCCCGGCTTCTTTTTTTTTTTTTTGAGACGGAGTCTTGCTCTGTCTTCCAGGCTGGAGTGAAGTGGCGCAATCTCGACTCACTGCAACCTCTGCCTCCCGGGTTCAAGTGGCTCTCCTGCCTCAGCCTCCAGAGTACCTGGGACTACAGGCGTGCGCCACTACGCCAGGCTAATTAGTAGAGACAGAGTTTCACCATCTTAGCCAGGCTGGTCTTGAATTATTGACATCATGATCTACCTGCCTCAGCCTCCCAAAGTGGTCGGATTGCAGGCAAGAGTCACCATACCTTATTTATTTATGTATTTATTTTTATTTTTTATTTTTTTTAAAGACGGGGTTTGACCATGTTGGTGAGGTTGGTCTTGAACTCCCGACCTTGGGTGATCCGCCCACCTTGGCCTCCAAAGTGCTTGGATTACAGGCGTGAGCCAGCACGCCCGGCCTATTTATTTATTTATTGGGATGGAGTCTTGCTCTGTTGCTCAGGCTGGAGTGCAGTGGTGCGATCTCGGCTCACTGCAACCTCTGCCTCCCAGGTTCAAGTGATGCTCCTGCCTCAGCCTCCTCAGTAGCTTGGATTACAGGCACCTTCCACCATGCCCGGCTAATTTTTGTAGAGTTGGGGTTCACCATGTTGGCCAGGCTGGTCTTGAACTCCTGACTTTATGAGATCCACCCACTTCGGCCTCCCAAAGTGCTGGGGTGACAGGTGTGAGCCACCGTGCCCGGCCCCACTGTGTAATCATTTCTGTGTTCCCGTATTCCTCCCTGGAGACTCGAGACCCTCTGTCTGCCCACCCAGCCCCTGGTGAAAAGCTGGGCAAAGGAAGGAATGAATGACAACAGAAGTCATCGTGCAGCCACTTTTTGCAGGTGAGAAAACTGAGGCAGGGTGATTCATCGCCTTGCTGGGATCTCACAGAATAGCACAGCAGATCTGTCAGCCTTAGAACCACTGCTGTCCTGCCCAAGGGCAGCTAGTGCTCTCTTCCAGACGCCCAGTCTCCGAGATCCCCGGAGACCCCCTCCTCAATGCCCGCCTTCCCCAAGCAGCTCTGTTCTGCCTGGCCAAGCTGCTTTTTCCTCCCTGTGTCCGGCTACTTCACGTGAAGCTGACTGTCCCTGCCCTGAGACTCCGTGCTGCATTTTGTCCCCAGAAACGGCTCTGCAGGACACCCCCGCACCCCAGTGTAGATTCAGCGTCCACGTCTGTCTTACTGTGGCCTCTGGTCCTCCCAGGGGAAAGCATGGTCGCTGCCTGGCTAGATGGAAACGGTGTGTCCAGGATGGGTGCTGTGGCTCACACCTGTGATCTCAGCACTTTGGGAGACTGAGGCCGGCAGATCACCTGAGGTCAGGAGTTTAAGACCAGCCTGGTCAGCATGGTGAAACTCAGTTTCTATTAAAATACAAAAATCAGGCCGGGCGCGGTGGCTCACGCCTGTAATCCCAGCACTGTGGGAGGCCGAGGCGGGTGGATCACGAGGTCAAGCAATCGAGACCATCCTGGTCAACACGGTGAAACCCCGTCTCTACTAAAACTACAAAAAATCAGCTGGGCATGGTGGCACGTGTCTGTAATCCCAGCGACTCAGGAGGCTGAGGCAGGAGAATTGCCTGAATCCAGGAGGCGGAGGTTGCGGTGAGCCGAGATCGTGCCACTGCACTCCAGCCTGGGTAACAAGAGCGAAACTCCGTGTCAAAAAAATTAAAATACAAAAATTAGCCAGGCCTTGTGGCAGGTGCCTGTAATCCCAGATGCTCAGGAGGCTGAGGCAGGAGAATCACTTGAATCCTGGAGGTGGAGGTTGCAGTTAGCCGAGATTGTACCGTTGCACTCTAGCCTGGGTAACATGAGTGAAACTCCGTCTCAAAAAAAAAAAAAAAAAAAAAAAAGAAGAAGAAGAAAGGGCCAGGCATGGTGGCTCACACTTGTAATCCCAGCACTTTGGGAGCCCA